TTCGTAGCTGATAAACGCGAAGTTTTAAACTCGTCTTCTCCCAACCCGGCTTACGAGTTGGTCGAAGTCGAGCAATGATTTTAGCATCTTCGTAGCTGATAAACGTAAGTTTTTTTAACTCCTCTTCTCCCAACCCGACTTGAGAGCTGGTCGATGTCGAGCAATGATTTAAGCAGCTTTGTAGTTGATAAACGCAAAGTTTTTCAACTCGTCTTCTCCCAACCCGGCTTGCGAGCTGGTCGAAGACGAGCAACGGTTTTGGCAATGTTCGTTTAGTTGTATAAGATTATGGTTGCAGGTTGCATAGTTATTTGTTGACGTTGTAGTTGTTGGATTCGTTGCTTGTTCGTGGTTCCATGCGATGACACAACGTCATAGTTGTTTAAGTCGTTTTCGTGGTTGTAAGCTTCGTAGCGTATTCGAGGTTCCACTCGAAAGATACAACTTCGTATTTGGTCAAGTCGACTTCGTAGTCGTAAGCCTCGTAGCTTATTCGAGATTCCACTCAAAAGATACAACTTCGTAGTTGTTCAAGTTGACTTCGTAGTCGTAAGCTTCGTATCTTATCCGAGATTCCACTCGAAAGATACAACTTCGTAGTTGTTCAAGTCGACTTCGTAGCACTCGAAAGATACAACTTCGTAGTTGTTCAAGTCGACTTCGTAGTCGTAAGCTTCATAGCTTATTCGAGATTCCACTCGAAAGATACAACTTCGTAGTTGTTCAAGTCGACTTAGTAGTCGTAAGCTTCGTAGCTTATTCGAGATTCCACTCGAAAGATACAACTTCGTAGTTGTGTCGTTGTCTTAATCGGCTTCGTAGCCGTTTTGAAAATTTTGATTTTACAGGAGTTTCTACTAAGTTGGTAGATGAATCTAAAACATGTAATAAAAATATTGATCAAAACATTTCATTTCATTACTGAAGTCGAATCAGAAATTGTTCAGTATAAAAAGGTAGCTTCAAATTGCTTAAGCGTAAAAGCGTTTATGATGGACCACGTTCCAGGATCGTGGCAGTTGTCGTCCTTCGACATCCTCGAGCTCATATGCGCCTCTCTCGAGTACTTTTGTGATGGTGTAGGGCCCTTCCCAATTTGCTTCGAGCTTTCCCACGTGCTTGAGTGTGTCTGCTCATTTGAGGACGAGATCTCCTACTTGGAAGCATCTTGCTCGCACCTTTTTATCAAATGTTGCTTGCATCTTTTGCTTGTAGTCGACCGATCGTATCCAAGCTTCTTCTCGCCCTTCATCAGTTAGGTCGAGGGCTTCCTCCATCATTTCTTCATTTTTCTTTTCCTCGAAGTATGTCGATCTGTGAGAACTTAGTGCAATTTTCACTGGGATGAGTGCGTCCATTCCATACACCATGTTGAACGGTGATTGGCCTGTCGAGCTTCTCGGGGTCGTCTTATAAGCCCATAGGACGGTTTGTCAGCTCGTCGATCCAAGCTCCTGATGCCTTTTCCAATCGCGTCTTCAACCCTTGGAGGATAGTTCTGTTTGTCACCTCGACTTATCCGTTTGTCTGGGGATGCGCGACCGAAGCAAATCTTTGTTTGATTCCCATGTCGAGGCACCATTCTTGGATCTGTTTCCCCTGGAATTGGGTTCCGGTATCTGAGATCAACACTTTCAGAATTCCAAATCGACAGCAGATGTTGTTGAACAAGAATTGTATCATTTTTTCCTCGGTGATTGGAGCCAAGGGCTCCGCCTCAACCCACTTACTAAAGTAGTCGACAGAAACTACTAAGAACTTCATTTGACCTGTTTTGATTGGTAGTGAACCAACCAAGTCGATTCCCCATTGAGCAAAAGGGATCGGTGAGCTAATTGTCGTCATATTCTTCGTCGATATATGAGTAATTTGTCCGTGTCGTTGGCATTTTTCGTATTTTTGCACAAGTTTTCTGCCATCTTTCGCAATTTTGGCCAATAGTAACCTGCTCGTAGGGCCTTTCCTGCCAATAATAACCTGCTCGAAATCCTGCATATGCGCCACAACATCCTTTATAAATTTCTCTTAGAACATAATCTCATCCTTCTCAGAGACACATCTCAAGTGCGGCCCAACAAAGGATCTTTTGTAGAGGACTCCGTCGACTTCGACATACTTGCTTAAATAGCGAGCCGCCTTTTCTGCATGTTGTTTGTCTCTGGTGGGCACTTGCCCTTGTAAGAGTTCTCTAATCGACTTCCTCCAGTCCTCCTTTTCCTCGACTTCCAATGTTTCGCCCAAGACGCTGCCTTCGAGGTGCATGGTGGTAATGCGATCTCCCACCTTCCCTTCGTTTGAGCTTGCGATTCTAGCTAGCCAGTCGGCTCGTTTGTTCTCTTCTCGCAGAATTTGTATAAGTTCAAACTTTTCCAACCCTTGCACTAGGCCTTGGATTTCCTTGACATATTTCATCATCCGCTCTTCTTTGATTTCACAATTTCCATAATCTGCCTGACTACCAGCAGTGAGTCGGAATGCGCCATTATCTCAGTCGCTCTTCCGCCGATTGTGAGTTGAATTCCTTTGATCAGTGCCTCATACTCTACTTCGTTATTCGAGGCTTTGAACCCTATTTTGATGGAGAAGTCTAGTTGCTCGCCCTCGGGAGATATGAGGACGACTCCCAGACCCGATCTTTTGGCTGCAGAGGACCCATTGACATGCATCACCCACTTCTTTTCTTCCCCCTTAGTATACTCCTGAATGAAGTCGGGCAACACTTAAGCTTTTATAGCTCGTCTGGGCTCGTACTTAATGGAATACTCGCTTAATTTGACAGCTCATTTGATACCGTAGGTCGCCCAACGTTTCTCCAAGTTGAAAATTTGTCCTTACCACCATTGTGTGATTCAGAAAATACGGCCTTAGCTTCCTTGCCGTTATGACCAGAGATAGAGCGACTTTCTCGACTTTAGAATATCTCGTCTCGGCTGCTTGGAGTATTCGACTTGTGAAATAGATTGGTCGTTGGGAACCCCCATCCTCCCAAAGTAGCACTAAGCTCAATGATACCATCCCGACTGAGATATAAAGCACCAACTCGTCATTGGGCTCAGGTTTCATCAACGAGGACAACTCACTTAAGAATTCCTTTAGTTTTTCAAACGCAATCTGAGCTTCCTCTCTCCATACGAAAGTTGACTTCTTCTTGAGCAATTTAAAGAATGTAAAACTCTTCTCAACAGCTCGAGCAATGAACCTGCTTAGTCCAGCAATTTGACCCACCAGGACTTGCACTTCCCGGATATTCTTTGGTGGGGCCATGTCGAGTATAGCTTTCACCGTTTCCTTGTTTACTTCAATCCCTCTCTCAGTTACAACGCATCCAAGGAATTGTCCTGCCTCACTCCAAAGGCACATTTGCTTGGATTCAGCTTCATTCCAAATGTTCTGAGCGTTGTGAATGTTTCTCTTAAGTCGTCAGTGTGTGAAGTCGAGGATCTTCTTTTCACCAGGATATCGTCCACGTATACCTCCATATTACACCCGATCTACGGTTTGAACATTCAATCCAAATCTTTGGTAAGTCGCTCCCGCATTCTTGAATCCGAAAGGCATGATGACATAACAGTAGTCCCTCTGCTCGTCACGAAACTCACTTTATTTTGATCCTCTAGGGCCAAGGGGATTTGGTGATACCCTTGTGATGCGTCCATCATGCTCAACAACTCACAACCAGCTGTGGAGTCGACCAGCTGGTCAATTCTTGGCAATGGGTAGTGATCTTTTGGGCACACCAGGTTCAAATCGCGGAAGTCGATGCAGATGCGCCATTTGTTCAATGCCTTCTTCACCATCACTGTGTTAGATATCCATTCTGGGAACTGAATTTCCTTGATGTGCCCCCTACAGCAACTTATCCACCTCGTCTTCAATGGCCTTGTCGATATTCGCTCCATGGTGTCTAAGTCGTTGTTTCACTGGCTTCTTGAGGGTGTCGACATTAAGTTTATGCTCCATGATCTCAGGGTCGATCCCCTTCAGCTCCTCAGGGGGTAAAGGCAAATATTTCCCTGAATTCTTCCTACAATACGACAAGCTGATTACGCAACTCGTCCTCCAAATCTTTCCCAACCTTAGTGGTTTGTCCTTCATTTCTCCAATTGTAACTCCATCAATTATTCATGTGGCTCTAGATCACTCCCTCTAGGCCTTTTCTCAATCGACATTGGTTTCTTTCTCTCTTTGACTTCTGCTTGTTGATTAGTTTTCACTGCTATCTGGTAACAAGTTCTTCTCTAGGCCTTTTCTCAATCGACATTGGTTTCTTTCCCTCTTTGACTTCTGCTCGTTGATTAGTTTTCACTGCTAACTGGTAACAAGTTCTTGATAGCTTCTAATCTCCTCGAGCCTCTCCTTCTCGATCTCCGACAGGGAACTTTAGTTTCATATGATAAGTTGACATGACCGCCAAGAAAGCATTGAGTGATGATGCACTACCGAGAATAAAAATAAAAATAACGCAATAATAAAATAATATCCAAAAAATCCATAAACGAAACGGGACATCACAGGAAACCCCCAACGCAAATACCCCACCTAGACTAGAAAGCAAACCCTAAACACAGGAAAGACACTATAGACACACGCGAAGAGACTGAGAAGAGAGATTTGCAATCCAATTCATGGAACTGTAAAACCCTAGAGAGACTTTTTTCCAATTAATGGAACTTCATTAATATATAATTTAAGAGTTATTTATTAAGACTTTGCATATTATGAAATACGCCGCATACGATAATAGTAAATTCAATCACGCATAAGGACAATATAATTGAGAAATTAGCTTCATCGGAGATGCGTTAAGCACAAACACGAAACAAAACTCTTCAACCATTACTTTTAACTCAACCAAAACATAAATCGAAAGTCTTGCCTTATGATAACTTAACTATTAGAAATGAGGCTTGTCGAGTAATCATTTACCATAGCAGCCTGAATATTGAGAAGCATACTTGAAATAATAAAGATCTTTGCAGGACATCTACAAAATTAGTACTTCAATCAATACCATGGACAACATCACAAGTTAGCTCATGCAAAGGAGGTATATTCCTCGTGGCGAAGAACATGATGTGAGGCATTCTCAAGTCATCATGGTCATAAACTACACATTGGGCAACAAGATTCGGCGTGCTGCTCTTGCGGATGAATCTCCCCACATTTCCCACCTTCGATGCATCAATAGCAAACCGCACCACATTTTCATTTGGAGGTGTGCTGAGGGAATTGTCATTCTTCGACACTAAAATTATAGTGCTCGAGAATCTTTGCAAGTCCAGTTTCATACTTCGTATAGCATCCTCGTCCCTCACTTTTCCAATAAATTCACATACAAAACTCCCCGTTGAAATATAACTTCGAGATCTCACACTCCACCTTCTTGACTCAGTGCGGTAAAGCTCTAACTGATATCGCGGACCGTGCTGTCGCAGAAAACAATGAAAATTCATGCTATATTGGAGTTAAATACAAAATTTGTACGATGGTCAAGGATTTAAGAGTTTCAATAGTCTTCATTAGAACATTAGAAGAACACAACACATATTTTGTTCGAACCTGCACACACATATGGAGCTAGTCCCAATTTTGGTTTCATGTTCTATTGCCTTACTGTACCAATGCATGCCATTATGTTGTAGTACATTATATAATTAATGCACAAGTGATTAGCAAAGTATTAATGATGAGGATAATGTGGACAATGTAGCTTAGTTTATTCACATTCTCTTCGATATTCTATCAACCAATAGAGGGAAAATTTGACTTTACATATGATTTATTTACAAATATTCGAAGGGCGTTTGTTTACAAAAATTTCCAATCAATAATCAAAATCAAAATCAAATCAGTTTTAACTCAACTTACGATCCTCAGTACAAATATTCGAGGGGCGGTCTGGTAAGTTTTTAGTGAGTATATAGAAATAATATTTAAAATAAAATAATTAAATTGATTTAATGTAAAAGCAAGAGAGATGATGTAAAGTAATGATTAGTTAAAATTATGCGAAATAATGAATAACGAATTAAAGTTGATGTGGTGTAAGAGTTAATAATTGGATACAAAACTTCTAAAAAAAATTGTTTTGGTTGCGTTAAAACAATTTATTTTAGAAGTTTTATATCCAACAAAACTTCTAAGAGGGTGGTTGGATACAAAACTTCTAAAAAAAATTGTTGGATAAAAAATGTTTTGATTTTTTTTAGAAGTTTGTATCCAACCACCCTTTTACTATTTAGTTTATTTGTCCAATTATTCGTAATCAACAATAATTCATCATCCGATTCCCTAGAAACCATCAAGTCTTGTTGGAGAAGTGATCATACAAAGATTACTTCCTCATATGGTTGGTTTTGTTTGGTTAATTTTAAAAAAGTTGGTTTGGGAAGTTGTTAGTGGGTATTTTAAAATAATAATTAAAATAAAATAATTAAATTGATTTAATGTAAAAATAAGATAGATGATGTAAAGTAATGGTTAGTTAAAATTATGTGATTTAATGAATAATGAATTAAAGTTAATTTAAGAAGTAATCATACATTACATGGTTTGGTTTTGTTTGGTTAATTTTTAAAAAAGTGGTTTGACAAGTTATTAGTGGGTATATTAAAATGATATTTAAAATAAAATAATTAAATTGATTTATTGTAAAAGTAAGATAGATGTATGAAGTAATGGTTAGTTAAAATTATGTGAGTTAAATGAATAATGAATTAAAGTTGATGTGATGTGTAAGAGTTGTTGATTGATTTTATTTAATTATATTGATAATTAATAATATTGATGATAGTGGGTTTAAAAATGAGTTTAAAAAATGGTTGGATTAAAAATGTTTTTATTTTTTTAGAAGTTTTGTATCCAACCACCCTCTTAATGTTTAGTTTATTTGTCCAATTATCTTCGTAATCAACAATAATTCATCATCCGATTCCCTAGAAACCCTCTAATCTTGTTGGAGAAGTGATCATACAAAGGTTACTTCCTAATAACCTATTGCAACATTCGACTTCGTCGTCCTATTTCTGACATATCTTTGACTTAAAATTAGAGGGAGTTTCGTACTCCTAATCACTAGAACTAAAGCTCAAAGGTTGAATCACTTTTAGAGAACGAAAATGTCACAAAATAATAAATCACTATACTAAATTACAATTACAATTCCAAAATAATATAGAACAAAACTAAGTTTTAACTATAAAGTATTTGAGAACACACCATTTGGGGTATATATTATTAAAATTCTTCCATATTAATCCTATTTGGCTTACAAACCATTTAATTTGTGACATTTCACAACTTTTTTAAATCAAAATATTTGAGCACCTAAAAGTGCTCTTCTTCTTTATTCAATTACAACGTTGTAAATTGAGTCTTTGAGATACTCTTATTGTGACACAATTGTTCTACAATAGGTACATATAACTTCTCCAAGTAACAAATGAATAAAACATACAAAATGTAACCAACTCTATATATTTATAGTTTAGAGGAACATACCTGGCTAACTCTATTCACACAAGAAGGAGGGCATTTGCAAGATGGACCACACTCATGAACCATATCCTTTCGTCGGAGAAGAAAACCCTTCTCGCTATAAGGTATTTCACCTTCGTTCTTTAAAATACAACCACAATGTCGTGAATTTGAGCAGCCATTAGTGCAATCACAACCGTCTTGCTTAACCTTTATATACCCATCCGGATATATATTGTTAGTTATGTAAGCAAACTTGTCCGGCTTCTCACAATCTCTTCCATTCATCGCACGTACTTGAAAATTTTCCATTCCTTGAGAAACATCCATCAAAATGCAACATTCTTTGCCTCTTGGTTTCGTACGTTCTAGAGGTAGTTGTTCTTGGCCCGACATTCTATGCAATTCAAATTTGAAAACATATTTGCCAACTCTTTCTTTTTCTTTCCAAAACTTTTTCACCATGTATAGCCCATCATATGTATATCCAAAATCTGAAGAGCCCCTCGTCATTTTACGAATCACCCGCACCGGACATTTTTCGTCCATGCTATTCACCAAAGCAAGATTGCCACGTTTCAACTCTTGATCAACTTTCATCCCCCTATTCATTAGTCCACCTTCACCAGAGTATATCAAAATGTCATTCGTTTTGGCTTTGTTTTCATAACGGCCAGAGTTGACAATGCTAGTTGCAACTTTCTTCCCATTTAGCATAGTGTAATCTATACCAAAGATATACTGACAATGCAGACCAACAATAGCAAGTTCAACCCTTAAATGGAACTTATCACCAATAGCAACGCCGGGAGTATGTCCAAAACAGTTTGCCCGATTTATCCATTTCCCTTTCCTCCTAAGGATACTTGCGGCTTGCATATCGAACTTTCTAGCTCCTTGGCCTTCCCGTTTTGGCTCTCCCTTATGTTTGTGGAGTAGTTCATTATATACATCTTGAAATAGCTTTAGAGTCTCATCCACTCTAATTTTATCTTTGAAAGCCATATGGTGGAGATCAACACAAGAGTTGCGCATTTCCTTCGAGCACTTCAATCGAGATGAACCTTTATTGAGATCAATTGGTTCATTTTTGACGGCGTGAATTTGCTTTCCCGACATTTGAGACCCCACTATATCTACAATTGGTCAATGTTGAAGTTCTGAAAGGTAGGCCAGAAAAAAACTATAAGACAATAGTTGACATAATGCTTTTATTCTGAGAAAAAAAGCAACAAAATGCATAAAAAAAAAATAACAATTTCATGACAATGGAATTTCACAGAATCTGAGATAATATATGAAGTGCTGTAACAAAAAATAGTTGTTTTTGCAACTTTTAAACAAACTCCCCTTAAAACAAACACTCAACAATGTGAGCATAAAAAATTTAAAGACCACCATAACACTCAACATTTTATCAAAGTCTAAATTTTGACACAAACTATGAAAACAATTGTAATATGTGAAAACAACAGATTATACACATGAGCACAAATAACATTACTTTGACCAAATAAAGAAATTGTGCAGTCACTCAAACAATTCAATACACATATTGAATAACAATTCAATAGTAGCTTTCAAGGACCAACAAATAACAATACACATATCTATATAGATTCACAACCAAAAAATAAATAAGTAGAAATAAAAAGGAACACAAAAAAGGAACAATACTAATAATTCTAAACAGAACTTACTCAAAAGTTTCAAATAATTGCAGAGAATATCTGTTGTTGGAGAAGAAATGGTGTTTTGATTTATCCCAAGAAAGAGGTCAATCAAAAGGCCCAATTATGGCGGTTTAGTTGCGTGTAACCGTAAAACTTTGAACCACGGATTAATTGTTTTTTTTTTAAAAAAATTGAAAATGCAGATAAGCAATGGAAATTTTGAAAATTAACAGACGAAATCATAGCAAATTAGCAAAAATAACGAGTTTGGTAGTTGAATTTGAAAGGACGGTAATTAATTTTTCACTATTTCAAAATATTTAAATGAAAAAAATACTAGAAAATAGTCAAATCGTTGCACAATTTTCTAGCCCAGACTTGCAGCTTTTGGGGCGAACTCAATTACCAAAATATTATAGCAAAAAGATTTATTAATATGTCTTTGAGAAGTTGCACATTAATTAAGAATATTTTTTTTTTGTCAATTAAGATAGAGATAAATGTTTTGAGAAAAAGTGAAGAGTCAATATGAAAAGACGTAATGTATTTATTAGTTAAATGAGGGTAATAATGGAAAAATATATACAAAAGATGCAAATAATTGATAAAGCTAGAATGACATTTAAAAAAATAGGAGGGAGTATTTTTTAGTTTCTTCTAATAATTGATATATAAATATAAATTTAATTAAATAGTAGTATAATAATAATATAACAATGTTTCACTAATTATTAGAATGGCATCAGAAAAATAATTTTCCTATCATTTTATTTTTTCTTTAGATATCATGAAAAATAAAAACAAAACTTGCACAAAAAAAAAATAAATAAATAAAGTTATTTTAGTAAACGAAAATTTTCATGTTTTTCCTTTTTATTGATAATTAATTAATTCGTAAAATATAATAGCCTTGTGACGACATGGTTTACGATAATTCTTTTTGTTAAATAAAATACAATACAAATTAGTATTAAATACTCCCTCATATTCATTATAAATGTCGTTTTGACTTTTTTGATTCATCCATTTTGTTATGTATGTAGACATATTAATGTCTAGATACATAATAAAATGGATAAATCACAAAAGTCAAAACGACATTTATAATGTATGCTTTGAAATTCGAAGTATATTATATTATCCCGATACAATAAAATATTCTGTAGACTGCACTTCGATTTTTCATCAACTAAACCTAAGAATTCATTCACACACACCACACACACCAGGGGCGAAGCCAGAAATTTTAGTTGAGGGGGTTGGGGGGTCTTACACGCAAAGCGTCGGTGTCGGACGACCCCAGCCAGTACAAGTAGCTTCGCCCCTGACACACACACGTCAAATAGCACACAGCAATTTCACATAAACAGATTAAATAACTACCAAACCAAATACATATCCAAGTTACACAACAATAATATGCCATGCAATCAATATTATAACAAGATCTAACTAAATAAAATGCTTTTAAATTAATTATTCAAGTAGAGCATATATATTAATGTACGCAAATTCAATAATAATAAAAAAAAAAAAAAAAAAAAAAAAAAAAAAAAAAAAAAAAAAAAAAAAAACAATAGTATCAATAAGTGAATGAAGGCATGCCTTATACCGCAACTCTATGGAGAGGAACCCAATGAACCCCGAAATTGATGATAGAAGAAAAATAAAATTAAAGTCACACGTATCTTGTTTATATAGATTTTTTTTTGGATGGATGGATTCCTATTCCTATAACAATGGTACGTACGTTTCCATATTGAATTTTAGAGGGATATTTGCAAATCCCTACAAAACCGGATTTTTCTATACATATGTATGTAGTTTGGTCAATCTCAAACACTGCGTCATATATATATATATAGTAATAAAAATAATTAATTAATGTAAATAGCATGTATTTATGCTAATCTCTCGGTCGCGTCGGTTGGGGAATAGAATATATCATGAGGTACTAGTTAATGCAGCTATATCATTATTTGAAAAATATACTTATCAATCATAACTAGGCGCAATTTCATAGCACCAAAGGTAGTACGATTTACTACCTAATTAATTGATTTCGCAGTTTGCTTCCTAATTGAATTATTATTAATAACTATATTTTTATATTCCTAAATTATCATCTTTCCTACGCACTCTATATATCTTATCATCTTAATAATTACTTTAATTAACTCCTTTTATTATGTAAATTATTAATTATATTTCCTTCTTGTTTTTATGTAAACTAGTATTCGATCATGTGCATTTACACAGTTGTAAATAAAGTATTGTGAGTTATTTGTATGCATATAATCATTAATTATTATTTTTTTTCACCTTTTTGTTGGCCAAATTTACAACTAAAGGAATTGGAATATTTTTTTTAATTGTGTTTATCGTATTGGATGTAATGTATATTACACGGGTGCTGCTTGCTAATTTTTTTTATTAACATCTAAAATTAATGAGAAAATATGGTTGAAAATTTAAATATATTTTATAAATATATATATATATATTATATATTTAGTATGACACTTTTTATTTGTGCGACTTACCTGTGTTATATTATAATAATATTTTTTAACTTACAACATATATCTACATTAAACATAAATATATCAATTGAGAAATAATTTTATTTTTCTAATGAATTTTAATAAATATTATTACTTTTTATTATTATAAAGATAAATATAATTTATTTATTTCATATATACAATATGGATGTCAAATCGAAGATCATCAAAAGATAATTAATTTGATATATTATATATGTAAAACCGATAAGAAATACAAAAGTTATCAACTTGTACAAATGATATTAAAATACATAAATTAGCTAAATAATATTTATGGAATGTCCAAACCTATATTATTAATTATTAATATATCAATATTATTTGTCCAAACCTAATTACGAAGCATGATTTTTCACCAAGTAGGATTCTAAAGCAACAGAAGTATCCACGTAGGCTCAGGGCATTTGATAATTATATATAGAGGGGAATTTATTTAGAAATTTCAAATACGTCTATTTTTTAGAAAAAAAATATTTTAAATGTAACTACAATAATAACATATAATCACATTATACGGTCAACATATTATATGGTGAACTCTCAGTAATGAAAAGTTCAAAATGATTTCTGTAATTTTGAAGTGATTAGAGTTGATTATTTAATAATTAAATGAAAGATTAAATACATCAAAAGTAACGATTTTTTGAGGGAAATATGTTAAATTGTCACATAAGTAAAATTAAATAGGTTTTATTAAATGCTATTAGCTAGTAATTATATATATATATATATATATATATATATATATATATAGAGAGAGAGAGAGAGAGAGAGAGAGAGAGAGGGAGAGAGAGAGAGAGAAGGGATCATATGAGAATGATAAATAGTGAAAGAAATAAGAATGATTCAAGACCATTAGATCAAATATATCAATGGTCATTCTGAAGTCAAACATAGTTAGTCATTAATGGCAGTGTGGTAAATAATTTGATATTTCTTGGTCAAATTAAAATATATAAGGGCAGGTGTGTAATTTTATATCCATCCATCTAATTAAGTGGGGCCCACATCGTCAAACATAATTAAATCTTTCTCCACCTTATCTCTCCTCCTTCATCTTCTCTGATATGCTCTCTCTTTTCTTTCCCCCTCGACGACTCGCCATTATATCGAGCTCAGCCACCACCACTCCACCGCCATATCTCCGCGGCGCCTCTGTCGCTCATCCGCCGTGCGCAGTAGTCTCCGGCGAAATCCAACGAGTAGAATGCCAGGAAGCACATACTCCTGCCGATCTCCTCATCGTCGGCCACCAGACAACGTATAAATCTGCTGCGCTTGTGACCCCACTCCTCCGCCCCTGCAAAGCTGCTCCGAGTAGGTCGTCGTCGAGCTCACCTGCGGCGGCGCCACTCCCACCTTCTTCTCCGCAGGAGGCGGAGGAAGCCTACGAGGCGGAGGCTCAGGCGACCTCCCGTTCATGTGCCGGCGACAAGCCTATTTCAACATAGTATCAGTCGGTGTCGAGTGTATTTTCAACAATTTTGTTTTTATGCCTTGTGCGATTTTTGGGGCTGATTTTGGTACATGTAGCGGTGGCAAGGATGGGTGAGATGTGGCGCGCCGACAGCGACTCCGGCGGTCGGTGGTTGACAGCGGCGAGGTGGGCTGAAGATGATCGACGGGAGTGACGGGGGGAAGTTTTGGGGATGGGGTTTGAGTTGGCACTACAAAAAAAAAAACAAAAAAAACAAAAA